TGGCATTTTATAGTTTTAATTTGAATTTCCATAATGACTAATGAGCTTAAGCAGTTTTTCAGGTGTTTATTGGCCTTTTGGATATCCTCTTTTAGGAACCTATTTAGTTCCTATTTTATGAATAGGAACTAAGTGCCTATTCACATCTCTTGCCAATCTTTTAATTGGCTACCTTTTTTTTTATTGTTTGATAGGAGTTCTAGATATACAGTATACATGGAGGTATGTATTGGAGACACTGTCTTGCCTTTTCACTCTCTGTATGTTGTCTTCAAAAGGACAGAAACGACTCCTTTTATTGCATTTAATAATGTTTTCCTTTATGGTTAGTGTTTTTTGTATCTCGTTTAAGAAATCTTTGCTTATCCCAAGATGCTAAAGAGAATCTCCTATATTATATCTTATATAACCTTTAGTTTTACCTTTCACACTTAGAATTTAAATCTTGCTTGGACTTGAAGTTTTGTATATGGTGTGAGGTAACGGTCAGAGCCTTTTCTCCCCCCTAAGGCTATCTAGCTGACCCAGAAGAACTTATTGAAAAGAGTTTCTTTCCCTCACTGTTCTGTGGTGCTACCTTGTCATAAATCAAATGTCCATTTATGTGTGGGTCTGTTTCTGGACATACAATTCTGTTCCATTTATCTATTTGTCTATCCTAGCTTTATGATAAATTTTGATTTCTAGTCGAGTAACTCCTCCAAATTTGTTTTTATTATTTAAAAATGCCTTAGCTATTTTTAATCCTTTGCTTTATTTAACTTAATCCTCAGAAAAATCCAGTGAGGTAAAATAGTTATGACTTTTATCTCCATTTCACAGACTGGCAAACTCAGAGAAGCTAAGTAATTTGCCCAGGCTCATATAACTATCAAGTGATGGGAAGGGATTAGAACCCAGGTTTGTCTGATTCTAGACCCAAGTATTTAAAGTCCTTCATATACTGCCTCCTTAATCCTCAAGCCAGATGACTCCTTCAGGGCATTTAATATGAATGCATTACAATTTTAAGGAATTCTGATGTTCTAAACCACCCATTTCCAGTTAAAAATCTTGTTTTGCAACTACAAAAAGCCACTTTCCTGGTGAGACTCAGGAAAACAAAACAACAAGAGGTAAAAGCCTCTTGGATTCCTTCCACAGGCCCCTCTGTCTCCAGAATAACAATCACACCCCTCACCTGGACTCATGGGGTCCCTCAGGCCTGGCTCCCCTCCACCTCTCCAGCTTTAACTCTCACCACATTCCTCTCCCTTCTCGACTCCTAAGTCATGCTCAAGTACTCACGTACTCCTACTAAGCCAAGATTTTTCACATAGCTGCACCTGTGCTCAGAATGCCCTTGTCCCACTCCTGGCTACTTCCTCCTTTTTCTGTAAAATCTGGGCATCAATTCACTTGAGAGGCCTTCCAGAACCTCATCTGAGTTGGGCACTCCTCCTCCTCTGTGTCCCCCATCCTAGCATGTCACACTGTCCTAGAGTTCAGCTGTCTGTCTCTCCACCTAGACTGGGAGACACTTGAGGCTGGGCAGGTACTGTCGCTATGTTCTGCAACTTGCATGGTGGCTAACAGAACAGATGTTTGCTACAAAGTCCTGAGAGAGATCAAAGACAGACTTTTTGCTCGGTGCTATGATTAAATAATAGACTCTAAGAGGGGGCCTGAGAGAAATGATTTCTAATACGTCCAGGACACACTCTTTGGTAGAAGTAGAAATTAGAAGGCTTGGGAAAGAGAGAGAAATACCTTCTGTGATGGACTTGGGCTTTCAGGTGAGATAGAACTAGGACTGAGTGAGAGAAGGGTCAGGTATTAAATGGCTATACACAGTTAGACAAGCTATGACTCATTAAAAGACTTCAGAGGCACTAAAATAGTCCCAGGAAGTACACAATTAAACTAACAACAAGGCAGGTTCCTCTGAGATGTAATCATTCAACAGACTGAGAGTCTGGTACTGAGGGTAGCTGTTCCTCTCCCTCACTGATTTTGAAAGCAATGGTTTAAGTGTAGGCAGGGGCATGAATACACGAGAAAAGGAGGAGTCTCTCCAACGGGGACATTGTCAAGAAAATGAGACGTGACACTCCCTTTTGGGTGGAAGGAGAGCCCACCTCCAGGCCCTTCTCAGCTCTGTAATCCGCAGGCTGCTTGAGTGCTTCTAGTCCTTGGTGCCAGTCCAAGGCCGTGCCACCCAGACTGTAAAGTCTTTGAGAACTTCCAGGCTAAGTTAAAGCTCACTGGCTTTTCTCATTAAGAAAATAAACTTTATTTTCACAAACATCTTTCCCAGCAGCACCAAGATGACCCTCTTTCACCACCAGCAAAATGGAGAAAAGGGAAAACTCTAAGGTGTCCAACCCAGGATTCCCACATTTTCTCAGTCAATTCTCATTTTTAAGGTTACTCTGTTCACTGAAGGGCAGAGAAAGGAAACCGCTCTAGTCCTCCAAATTCAGCCTTGTTTTCTCTACCAGCTTAGCTGTACTCAAAACAAGGGCTTATATTTCCTTCTTTTAGAAATTCAGACTCTATGACATCTTAGGGTTGTGGATATTTTGGAGGATAGATAACCTTCTGGCATGGGAAATACTCTTTTTTTTTTTTAAAGATTTTATTTATTTATTTTTCCTCCCAAAGCCCCAGTAGATAGTTGTATGTCATAGCTGCACATTCTTCGAGTTGCTATATGTGGGACTCGGCCTCAGGATGGACGGAGAAGTGATGCCTGGATGCGCGCCCAGGATCCAAACCCGGGCCACCAGCATCGGAGCGTGCGCACTTAACCACCAAGCCACGGGGCCGGCCCGGGAAATACTCTTAATTAGCTATTTTTCTCAAAATTTTGGGAGGGTTTATTGACATCGGGCAGCTTAGGCAATTTAAGAAAATCTTCAAACAAAAAAAAAGCTTCTGTGTCCAATTTATGGCTTATGTTAGAAATAAGTTTCCAGAAAATAAGTGTCGGAGCATAGGCACTCATGCTAAAAGCTAGATGCTTCTGATCCAAACTCAGGAACCCCCTCCTACCTTTCCTGGAAAGGATTGCTCCATGGGTTGCAAATATGAATGACTGATTTATTTCCTGCCCAGATATGAAAATCTATTCATAATATTTTTCCTGTTTGGGCAGGGGAGGCGGCTACTGGGAAGAACAAACAAAAAGCTGGCTGGGAATCCATAAAGCTCCACTGTTCCATGATGCTTTCTCTACCTTGTCGCTACATGGGAGCTCCAAGACAGCAGGGTCACATGTGATGTTACATATGATTGTATGGCACACGGCACTTCTGAGGCACAGTTGCGGTTTAAGCTCAGTGTCACTGAATGGCCAAGAGATCATCTTGAAGATCCTCATGGAGTTGAGCAGACCCTGCTAAATGATTCTGTTGGATGCTGACAGTTGGGGCCAGGTTCTCATTAGCGAAATGAACTCCATGCAGCTAAGACTGTAGTGCTCAGCTGGGCTAGATACTTGCAAAAAGAGAGCAGGGACTGGCTGACAGTGCCAATTCTAAACAGACACTTTTGAGCAGAATGACAAGTTGCTATAGGGTGCCAGCAACATCCTCTCCCCTTAGTAGGCAAAGGAGACTAGGGAAGTGAGAAAACAAACCCTGAACCACTACTGCTTTTTGATATAGAGGGAAAAAAATGTGGTAACTCCAGCTGCCTGAACAGAAACGACTTTCTCAGCAGCTAGAAGCCCTGACTGGAAAAGGACTCTGGGGGATCATGGTAGGGAAGGAGGGTTGTCAGGCATCAGGCTTGTGTGTGAAGGACCCACACCAAATAGTAACAGCACGAGAGCTGCCTCGGCAGTTCCATAACATGGAAACAGTAAGAGTACGTTCTAAAGACAGAGTTACCATTTAAGGACCAAGGGACCTTTGCATATTTTCTTAGTGAAAAGCTCATTTTAAAGATTTACGGTTTGCTGAAATCCCAGGTTTTTTCCATTTGTTTTCAAAGGAAGACTGTCCTTCAAATATAGTACATAAAAATTACAATATCCCCATTTTCAGGGACATATATCATATATAGAGAATAATTTCAGATTTGCAAACCAGATTGCATAGGAATAGGGAAACATGACTCTAGATATGGATTCATTAGGTGATGGGGATTCTTTTCTCTCTGATTTAATATATTTTCCAAGTTTTGAACCATGGGCCAAGGATGGGCCTGTTCTCTGTTCTGCCTAAAGACTGACGGACGTGTAGCTGACCACCCCAGAACCATGTCCAGCACTCCTGAGTTTTCATCCCTGCTGTCATCTCCGACACCTCTTCGCCAAATGTCAACTGTGAGAAGCTAATACTGGCCCACTCTTTGTTGAAGGAGAAAGTATGTTAAAAAAAGTCAACTGAGCAAATCCTGTGGATACAAACAACAAAGTCTTTTTTTGCTTCTTAAGAGATTTACTCTATCCTTCTATTTCTAGAGCTGTTTTAAGTTGGAAATTTTCAAATGTGAGCTAGTGTTAGATCCAGGTTGAATGAGGGTTTTATAAAACAATGAATGATAATCAGAGAAAGAAATAACCAAGCCTTGTTAAAAGCACATTCAGCAAAATGTCAAAATATACCAGATCCTCGTATAAATAGCACCGATTACATTAACAGGTCTCCCTCAGTGAGTAGAGTCTTATTCCCAACCCTCTTTGCCTAGCTTATGCTCACTCCACGGTTATATAACCTTTAGAATGGAATGTGGAAATTCTTCTGACCCTGCTCTGCTTGCTGATAGAGCTGAGCCAGTGGCTGGCAGGGGTATAATCTAATAGGCAAAACTGGAAACACACGAATTCAGTCCTCTTGTCTCAGCCCACAGGCTGTGCAGGCAAGGAAAGAAAGACTGGGCCTCATCTCCCTCCTCCCCTCCTCTGGCCTAAGTTTACGCTGACTTCACCCAACAGGCACCTAACCCTCCCAGATGAGCTGGGAGGGGCTAAAGCGCCATGCCCAGCCATGGTGGGAGTGGAGGTGCAGGCAGCAAACAATATTTAAGATGCTGAGTTTGTAGGGGATTCAGGCTTAGGAAGGAAAGCTATAGGATACCCAATTAAGCTGCACTTTCAGAAACTCAAGATTTGAGAAAGGCTAGCAAAGAGCAAGGCAAGAGAGAAAACAATAAAGTCGGAAGCCCATCAAGAGTGAAAGGGTAAGGTTACAATTAGCTGCAGTTCTGCAAACCTTAGCTGGCCATATCCAGATTCCCCCAAAGGAAGATCCTTCCTCACCCAGGCCCAAGAAAGATGCTGAAAAAGACTCTCTCAGCTGTGACCTGGCTCTGTATTTTCGTCGTGGCCTTTGTCAGCCACCCAGTGTGGCCGCAGAAGCCCCCTAAGCTCAAGACACCTGCACAGCTCAAAGTGGCCACCTGCTGCGAGGAGGTGAAGGAGCTCAAGGCCCAAATTGCCAACCTAAGCAGTCTGCTGAATGAACTGAGCAAGAAGCAGGAGAGGGACTGGGTCAGCGTGGTCATGCAGGTGATGGAACTGGAGAGCAACACCAAGCGCATGGAGTCGCGGCTCACAGACGCCGAGAGCAAGTACTCCGAAATGAACAATCAGATTGACATTATGCAGCTGCAGGCAGCGCAGACTGTCACTCAGACCTCAGCAGGTAAGGAGAACGTGTCCTCACGCTACTCACTACCTTCCGCCTCAAACAGCCAAGCATCTCTCACCTACAGCATTGCTTCTAGATAACTTGGTTGTGAGAATGAGTACTGGGGGTTCTTTTGGGGTATACTTTCTTGGGTACATGCCACTGACTCTATTTTCTCTTTAGTAAAGGCTTATAGGGTATTTCTTTTGATTTCTAATGTTGTGTGAACTTACCCAGTACCTTCACAGGTCTCTCATCACGCAATGTTTCAGCATATTGAATGTATGAATTACCTTCCTGGAGCACAGAGAGATTGTGTGCTTTGCCCAAAGTCACGCAGCAAATCTTAGAAACAGCGTTCAAGTCTCCTGATTGGTTCACTTCCTTACCCAGAGCTGACAGGCTATACCCTCAGTCCTAAGGAAGTAGGAATGAACACTAAAAACATAACATCTGCTGCTCTGGAAGCAAAAGTTTTGCCAAAAACAGTTCTCTCTTGTCTCTAAGATTTAGTGGAATGGGCATTAATGAAAATTTGTATCTTCTCTCTGCAAACCTAACTCTTCTCACGGGCTCAGAATTAAGCGTATAGACACTGCTCACAGCCATTTGAAGAATTTCTTTGTGTTCAGGAGAGAACAGCCTCCTGTAGGTTCCTCAATTCCGACATTTCTATTTTTTCCTATGATCTCAGATACAATTCTCCCTAATAGTAAAGGAAATAAGAAAATGCAATGCTGAAATCTGGATTTTTAGTAGGCCCAAAATAAGACACATAATGTTTTCTTGTGCAAAATAACTTTCAGTTTCTGGTTAGCTTGGCTCAGGCACGCCAAGGTGAATGTATTGTTTAGAGAGAAATTTGGTTTTCTGAAATTATCAGGAAATTATTAGTTGTAAGGAGCATATCCTATAGATATGTCATTTCTTGCTGATATAAAAACTTTTGGTCCAAGTCAAAACAAGTCAAAAACCAAGTCAAAACAAAGAATAGAACAAGTCACTGATAACCTTCAGTTCAAATGAAGAAAAAGCTTTAACATGAAATAAGCTTGAAAATTCTGTTACGTGTATAAGCCACTTTCGAAGCATGTACTTCCTGACCCTCAGTTCAGGACTGAAAAGGTATTCTTAGGCCATTTTCCACGCAAGCGAGTCCTGAGTTGGTCTGTGAGATGGAACTAGACGCGCGGAAGACCAGGCCAGACAGAGGAACCTGACCGTGCACTTCCCGCTCCTCCAAACGGGACTTGCTCACCTCCCAGCGGGGAGTTCCCTGGGGGTCAAATGCAGCTCTCCTGCCAAGCCTCTTACTCCTCTTGCCCAGGACATCATTCCTTATTTTTCTTCTCTTTTACCAGGTGCTGGGTCACCTTTATACTCTAACCAGGTAGCCCCTTGGAGAAAGCAGTAAGTTGATGTTTTCATCAGTAATAGGAAACGAAGAACTCTGAGGGCAAAGGCCAGTGTCCCCGTCCCCTCCCACAATGTGCTCTGCCTGGGACAATTCTCAGGAGGAATTGCTACGGCCTGCCATCTGTGTGCTCTTCTCTAAAAGGCCCAGCGCAGTGTTCACCAGGAAAAGAATCCCCAGATACAGAGGGCAGGAAGCATCTTCCCGACAGCAAGAGTGCCCGCTCTCTGCATCCTAGCAGGAAGGCCTCTCTTCCACAATGCTCTTCCATATTTAGAAGAGGGAGACAAAATCAGGCATAAAGCAGTAGCTCCCAGGGCAGCCGAGGAAGCATTTAAATCAACCCCAGAGTGAACACCAGCCTGTCCAATTCTCTCACTTCCTTGTTTTAATAACACTGCCAGCGGAAGGCCTCCAAGCTTCCTCAGGGTGTTTGCGTTTTCATGTTAGAATCGAGCAGTGTTAGATTAAGGGGGGAAAGACTGTAAAATCTATCTCCCTTAATTAGGGTCCTAGTAGGCAGACAGTAGCCACTACCTCTGAAAAACAACAAAAACAAAGAAACAAACTAGGAAACAACAACAAAACCAGACTCTATGAGATACTCATGACTTATTTGGCAATAGAGGCTCGCTGTCCTAGAAGGTGAATTTATTAAATAGGAGCATCTGTTACGTGGCCCTCACACATCGTAATGTTTCCAGAATTCATGGCCTAGAACTACAGCAGGATAGTTTATTTCTGAGTTAACCTGAAACCACCTGCTGATTGACCTGTTGAGGCTATCCAGGTGAAGGGCTTCCCCACCCCTCAGCCTCACCACCAGGGAAGCCAAAATACATCCCCTCTTGGTCTCTCGATGCCCGCCTCTCCCAAATCCAGACCCTGCCTACTAATGAACACCCATGTGAATTTCACGGTAGAAATGAAGTCTCAGTTTTTCAACTTCCAATTTAGATACAGCAGGAATGCCTGCTTGCCACGGAGCCCCTAGGTTTGGATGCTCACCCCCGTGGTCTGCTCCTTTTGTAGATGCCATCTATGACTGCTCGTCCCTCTACCAGAAGAACTACCGCATCTCTGGAGTGTATAAGCTTCCTCCCGATGACTTCCTGGGCAGCCCTGAGCTGGAGGTAAGGTCTTCACTGCCCATGTTCTACCATCTGTTCTCCACCCCTCAAAGGGCTGGGAACAACAGGGCTAGTCACAGACTAAAGGAAAAGAAACTCAAGACAGAGAAGCAAACATATCAAATATGAGACAGCTGTCCAAACACTCAATTTATGGGGGGAGAAAGTCTAAGCATCTGTTTTGCCCCTTTGAATCATCAACCAAATAACAAACCTTCTAACCTAATTAGATAATTCTATAACCACCACCTAACTGGTTGAAATCTCTTGTCACGTCCTAGAGCACTTATTCTTTGGGGAAGGAGAAAAAAGAGAACATGTAGGGAGCATATCACAAGTATCTGGATTTTCTTTCCTCTCAACTGTATGTACACTTGCCCCCATCCTCAATTTTGAGAATTCTTTCTCAGCAGACCACCCCTCTGCCCCAGCTCGCCAGCACTGGAGTAGAATGCTGCTGTCCGAGCCAGTACAACTGTGGAAGTGCACACATCCACTGGCTCTGCGGGGATGGGAGAAAGGTAGGGAGGCCCGCCCTCACACTCCTGCTGCCTGCCTCTGCGGGTCCCTGACCAGAGCATCCTCTCTGCTCCAGGTATTCTGTGACATGGAGACATCAGGCGGCGGCTGGACCATCATTCAGAGACGAAAGAGTGGCCTTGTCTCCTTCTACCGGGACTGGAAGCAGTACAAGCAGGGCTTTGGCAGCATCCGTGGGGACTTCTGGCTGGGGAATGAACATATCCACCGGCTCTCCAGAAGGCCAACCCGGCTACGTGTGGAGATGGAGGTGACTACAAGGCCTGCGCCCCTAGGACTTGATCAGGCTGCCACACCCAGCTGTGCACAACTCTGGGGGCGCTATTCCTATTCTTATTCACTATAGGCTTGTATATTTATTATAATGGTTTTCCTGGAGGTTGCAGTACAGTCAAGGAAGAGTAGGTTTCTCCTAGTTTTCATAAACCTGAGGCTGTAGGTACAGAGGAAGAGGCTGGACTCAGGCCAGAGCACAGTGACCCAAGAGTCACCTGGGCTGATACACTGTGGCCCCTGCTCTGGCCTGGGGCACAAGGTCCTCTATGCGCAAACCTTACTGATACCGGTTGGCAACCCTCATCAAAGGCCTTGAAGCATCACCATATTCTCAAATTACTCTTATGACCTCTCTGAGTGGGATACAGCAAAAACACACATCTATACCTTACAGAGAGGGACGTGAAGGGACAGAGAAAGAGAGACTAATCACCGCCACATGGTGACTCAGGAGAGAAGTTTGATCTAGGACTCCTGTTTTCTGATTCCCAGGGTAGTGGGGTAAACAAGGAACAAAGCCTTACTAGATTCCCAGCAGTAAAAAGACGTATGGCTGTGGGCTGGAGAGAGAGAAGAGGTGCAGTTTTTCTAAGGCTCTGCCTCCTCCCTGACAGGACTGGGAGGGTGACCTGCGCTACGCTGAGTACAGCCACTTTGTTTTGGGCAATGAACTGAACAGCTATCGCCTCTTCCTGGGGAACTACAGTGGCAACGTGGGGAAGGACGCCCTCATCTATCACAACAACACCGCCTTCAGCACCAAGGACAAGGACAACGACAACTGCTTAGACAAGTGCGCACAGCTCCGCAAAGGTGAGCTTGTGGGGGCGGGGGGCAGGTTCAAGTGTAAGCCCACAGTCCCACTTGAGGAGAAAGAGTGAATTTACAACTACACAGCTAGGATTCTGGCTTTGGTATTTCTTTTTGACATCGGCTCTAACTGCTTAGCTACTGCTCAAAAAAACTTCACAAATCCCTGAAGTCCAGTCTCTCAGCTATTTCCAAGGGGAGGACACACTCAGCTCACTAGCACTGTTTCCTGGGCCAGGTGGATACTGGTACAACTGCTGCACAGACTCCAACCTCAATGGAGTCTACTACCGCCTTGGAGAGCACAACAAGCACCTGGACGGCATCACCTGGTACGGCTGGCACGGGTCCAGCTACTCCCTCAAACGAGTGGAGATGAAAATCCGCCCAGAAGACTTCAAGCCCTAAAAGGAGGCCTGCTGTGGAGGAGGGCTGGAGAAATGGAGACAGATGGAGGCTGCACAAGGGTGGAGAAGGAGAGGAAGAGAGCCTAGACAGGGTGGGGGTGGAAAATGGCCTATAATCTCCCCTGAAAGAGTAAGTCTCTGGGCAGCACAAAAAAATTATATGTACCAAGGATGTTACAGTAAATGGGATGAAGTATTTAATTAACACAGTGGGTCCTGACACATACTTCTCAGGGGGCTGGCCTGAGTGGGCTCTCTGCCTGCGATCTCTGACACAGCAGCAGCTTCTCTTTTCCACATGATTTTTCTGTAAAAAGAATAATCGTGAGACCACTTGATCCATTTACTCTAAGGCCTAAATTATGTGAGGGCAGAAAACAAAGCCCTTTGCTAAAAAGAACCATACTGTTTTGATTCTCCAGGAGAGGTCCTGGTGTTAGAGAAAGGAGTGAAAGAGTAGGGTGCGGGAAAGGAGTTTCTATTTTTAAATCCAATAAAATTACCTTCAGTCTCCGTGTTGTTTTTAAAATGACAGAAACGGTTCCGCTGGAGGTGAGCTGGCCCAGGCTGGACCTGCTTGGAGGAAACTCCAGGGCACTGAGCCTTGCAACTGGCCTCTGAGCACCTCCCCTGCTCGGCCTCAATCAGGCATAGCACTAAAGGCAGGTAGTGGGTCTAGTGGCGGCTGGGGAGCGCCAAGAGGTGGTAGGGATAAGTCCGTTGTGGATGCTTGTATAAAACTGCCTTAAAATATTCACAGTCAATATGGATATACCTATTTTTTATTTACTCTGTAGGAAAAGGGCTCAAAGAGCTTCCTCTTCTATCTTATCTATAAAAAGTGGCTAAAAAATGAAGGTAGATGACACTACGGTTAATAATTCATGCTGTATATAAGCATTTTGCTTTGTAAAAATAAAATATTGTAGTTTGTTTTAAATGCTTCAAGTTTCTTTCTCCTTCTACAATAAACTTTTAAAATGTGTTTGTTTTTAAATGATTATCCTTACCACTTAAAGCATGGTAAAAAGTAGAAGTGAAAAATCAGAGGGCGAGCAGTAAGAAAGACTGAGTTTGTTGCAGTCTTCAGGGAAACCAAGGGAGGAGCAGGAAGCCAAAAATGAAAAAGCGAGGGACAAAAAGGGCAGCAGCCACTGCTAAGAGGTCAGATTCTGGCATACCCACCTAACCCTGACAGAGGCCAACGCCTCCACTGGCTTCATAATACTTTGCAAACCAACACTCCCACTTTCTACTTGAACAAACTAACACATATGGAGAGGGAAAATATCTTTAGCCATAACAGATGTCAAATAATCTTGACCTTCAGGAAGGCATTTTTCCTTGCCAAAAAGAACCACTCCCTCGAACCAGTCAGTATAAGGTGAGCCATTATTCTTCCTCAGTATTTTCTACTGTACCCACAGTCCTTTGATTGTTGGGAACCTACTTAACCTTAAAAACAAGAACCTTGGGGATTTTCAAAGAAATAAAGTGAGTAGAGGAGAAGTACACTGCAGAAGGGCATCCCATGGGACAGGCATTCAAACAGAAACTTCCTAAGGCAGGCAGCGCAATCAGAGATGCTCAGCAGCCAGCACAATACTGCCAGGAAGAGAAGATAAAAAGATCAGGGAGTTAAAAGGAGATGAAGAGGAGAAAGTGTAAGATGCCTATGGCAGAAGCAGCTAAAAATTCTCTCTCTCATCTCCTATATACTCCACAACTAAAAAAACTGAGGCTCTAGGCAACAAAAGCTAGAATAAACAAGTGGGACTACCTCAAACTAAAAAGCTTCTGCACAGTAAAGGAAATTGTTTAAATCAATAAACTGAAAAGGCAACCTAGAAAACGGGAGAAAATATTTGCAAACCATAACCCCTCATAAGGAGTTAATATCCAAAACATATAAAGAACTCATACAACTCAATAGCAAAAAAGCCAATAATCCAATTAAAAAATGGGCAAAGAATCTGAACAGACATTTTTCCAAAGAAGACATCCAAATGGCTAAAAGGTACATGAAAAGGTGTTTAAAATCACTAATCATCAGGGAAATGCAAATCAAAACCACAATGAGATATCACCTCACACCTGGTAGGATAGCTATTATCAAAAAGACAAGAGATAATAAGTGCTGGCGAGGATGTGGAGAAAAGGGAACACTTGTACACTGTTGGTGGGAATATAAACTGGTACAGCCAGTTTATACTATGGAAAACAGTATGGAAATTCCTCAAGAAATTAAAAATAGAACTACCATACAATCCAGCAATCCCACTTCTGGGTATATAGGCCAAGGAAACAAAATCACTATCTCAAAGAGATATCTGCACTCCCACGTTCATTGCCGCATTATTCATAATAGCCAAGATATGGAAACAATCTAAATATTCTTTGACAGAGGAATGGATAGAGAAAATGTGATACACACACGATGGAATATTATTCTGCCATAAAAAAGGAAATTCTGCCATTAGTGATAACAGCAATGAATCTGGAGGGCACTATAAAGACAAATAATGTATGGTATCACTTATTTTTGAAATGTTAAAAAAAAAAGTTGATTACATAGAAACAGAATAGAATGGTGGTTGCCAGGGGATGGGGGAATGGGAAATGGGGAGATGCAGGTCACAGGACACAAACTTGCAGTTATAAGGTGAGTAAGTTCTGAGGATCTAATGTGCAGCATGGTGACTATAGTTAATAATATGGTATCACATATTTGAAATGTGCTGAGAGTAGATTTTAATTAAGCATTCTCACCACACACACAAAACAGAGTTAAATATGTGAGGTGAGGGGCCGGCCCCGTGGCGTAGCAGTGAAGTGCGCGCGCTCCAGTGCTGGCTGCCCAGGTTTGGATCCCGGGCGCGCACCGATGCACCGCTTGTCAGGCTATGCTGTGGTGGCGTCCCATATAAAGTGGAGGAAGATGGGCACAGATGTTAGCCCAGGGCCAGTCTTCCTCAGCAAAAAGAGGGGGATTGGCATGGATGTTAGCTCAGGGCTGATCTTCCTCACAAAAAACCGTGGCTTAGTGGTTAAGTGCGCACGCTCCGCTGCTGGCGGCCCGGGTTCGGATCCCGGGCGCGCACCGACACACCGCTTCTCCGGCTATGCTGAGGCCGCGTCCCACATACAGCAACTAGAAGGATGTGCAGCTATGACATACAACTATCTACTGGGGCTTTGGGGGATACATAAATAAATAAATAAAATTATTAAAAAAATATATATATATATGTGAGGTGATAGATGGTTAATTATCTTGATCTTCATAATCATTCCATAATGTATATCAAATCATGTATATTTTACATATATACAATTATATTTGTCACTTATTCCTCAATAAAGTTGGGGGAAAAAAGCATCTATATTGTACCAATCAAACCCATAGTTGCTGAAATTTATACATATTTTTTATATGCACAATTGAGAAACTGAAGTATCAACTTTTTCTGACAGGTTAATGTTGAAAATAAAATGTTACCATAAAAAAACCTCAAAAACAAAAACTGAGGCTTTAAGTCAGCCTCTGTGGTTTACTTCACCCTTCTGAGAGAACTTCTGAGAGAGGGGGGCAGAGGGAAAAGGGAGAGAGTTGTTAAAGAACACACAGACTATGCCCAGCCACTTCACCTACAGTGGTGCAAATTCTGACAGTAACCAGCACTTTTCAAGCACCTCTTCTGGTGCAGGTTGACGATAGATACCAAGGATTCAGAGATGAGTACAGCACAGTCTCTGACCTTAGAGAGGACAGGACCACCAGGAACCAAGAGGAGAGCTCAGTGTCACTCCTGAAGGTAAAGAACATTTTGTTCTGACCACATCCTCTAAGATTTGTAAGAGAAGAAGGTATGAAAAGTATGAAAAAAAACAGGCCTGATGGGCAGTTGTCAGAGTTGCATGTCCACCTAGTAAGCACTGTCCCCTGTTTTTATTTTTAATTCTGTAGATGTCTCAGATTTTTTTTTTTTTTGCTGAGGAAGATTTGCCCTGAGCTAACATCTGTGCCAATCTTCCTCCTTTTTTGCTTGAGGAAGATCAGCCCTGAGCTAACATCTGTGCCAATCTTCCTCTATTTTCTATGTGGGTTGCCACCACAGCATGGCTGACAAGTGGGGTAGGTCCATGCCTGGGATCCGCACCCGTGAACCTGGGCTGCCAAAGCAGAGTGCGCCAAACTCAACCACCAGGCCACAAGACCAGCCACCAGAAAATTTTTTAAAAAATGGGATTACTTGTCAGGGGCTTGGCAGTGAAAGCATCCAACTCTGAGCAGCCCCTCTCTTAGCGTGAGAAAGGAAAGCAGGTGCTATAAAATGAATGTGTGTGTCCCCCTCAAATTCACATGCTGAAGCCTAATTGCCAAAGTGATGGTATTTGTTTGTTTGTTTGTTTTGTGAGGAAGATCAGCCCTGAGCTAACATCCGTGCTAATCCTCCTCTTTTTGCTGAGGAAGACTGGCTCTGAGCTAACACCTATTGCCAATCCTCCTCCTTTTTTTTTTTTTCCCCCAAAGCCCTAGTAGATAGTTGTATGTCATAGCTACACATACATCCTTCTAGTTGCTGTATGTGGGACGCGGCCTCAGCATGGCCGGAGAAGCGGTGCGTTGGTGCGCGCCTGGGATCTGAACCTGGGCCGCCAGTAGCGGAGCACGCGCACTTAACCGCTAAGCCATGGGGCCAGCCCAAGTGATGGTATTTGGAAGTTGGGCCTTTGGGAGGTGATTAGGCCGTGAGGGTAGAGCCCTCATGAATGGGATTAGGGCCCTTATAAAAGAGATCCCAGAGAGCTTGTTCTCTGCTTTCCACCATCTGAGCACAAAGAGAGAGGTCAGCAATCCAGCAAGCCAGAAGAAGGTCTTCATCAGAACCCAACCATGCTGGCATCCTGATCTTGGACTTCCCAGCCTCCAGAACTGTGAGAAGTAAGTGTTTGAAGTTTAAGTCACCCAGTTTATGGTAATTTGTTACAGCAGCCTGAACAGTCTAAGTCAGCAGGCCACCAGCCCTTACCCTAATGCTATGGGCTGAC